GTTTTTATTGACTGATTTTGTGGTCTTCCGCATAATAAACTGATATGTCGCGAACCAAAAAGAACACTTTTTCGGTTTTTCAAGGTTTTGAAAGTGATCGATTCATTGTTGCAATGAAACACAGCAAAGTCATTACCAATATTATTTTACAGTCTCACAGTTATACAAACGTGTAGTTTATTATTTACATGCATGTGTCTTTATCCAGTCAAAAAACTCAACTGAATCACTATTGCAAGCATTGTTCTTATTTTATTTTCCGCAATCTCGATCATTACCAGTCAATAATACTAGCAATTTTATTGATAGTATAGTTTTAAATAACTACTCAAAATAAATAAATAGTAATGGAAAATTGTTGCCGACTTCAATAACTGTGCAAAAACTCTATTACAAGGCGATTAGTCACGCATTTATTCCAGATCACTGTGTCGTGTCCTGCAGCTCATTTCTTTCATTTAACCGACAAGCCTTGTTCACTTTTTTCTTGAGATCATAATGTTCGTTCAAATACACATTTTATCTTACTAATTTCTGACTTTTAATTTCACCACGCTTTTGATATTCCCAATTATGAAATTATTAATCACTCAATAGTTACCTAACTTTCAATAAATCTTTGACAAATTGATTATCGGACCTATTGTGACCCTATACATTCCATGAGGTATTGTTAATTCGCTTTTTGTTGGAAGGTACCATATAAAGGTAGTTATTTACTGAACAGGTCAACCGTTTTTTCTTAAATGTTTTATATCGGATTTTTTATATTTATTTTCATATGATGTGGAAACATACCTTACATGCAGAATTTAAGGATACGCAGACTCCTTACCTGAACTAACAATATCTAAGTGTACCTGCTTGCGTAATTTGATGTTGCATTCAAGGCACTTTTTTGTGAATTGGACAGCTGAGTTGTACCATAATCATTTAGTTGTGACGTTTTAAGACCAACATTACAATTCAAAAAGCAGTTTTATGAATTTTTAATAATAACAAAAATGAATCCTATATTTTCTTGAAAATCGATCAACAACTAGACTTATAGACCGATATTTAGCTACTTCTGATGTTGTTCTTAATAACACAATTCTTTCTGTAGTACTATTCGCTGCAGTTTGCAAACCACAGACGTCTCATCATCAACCTGTTAAGGCTGAATTAAAAAGGTTGATGGACGTTTGTACAATCATTAGCAAGTAAAAAATACGAATACACTTAAACTGAACCGAATTTCGAACCATGAAGCCATGACAAACTCATCAAGCTTTTCCGGTTGACACAGGCGCTTGTAGCCAACATTATTATGATCTAATTTGTTTTCTGTCTGTTCGATATTGACGCAAAAGTTGTGGTTCCGACGTGCTTTCTGCTTATCATTATGTTCACAGAAAAGTGTTTACTGAACACTACTGTCAACCACAGGTTTGATAACTTCAACATCTATTATGTTTGTATTGCGTACACAAAACTTGTCTTAATGGTAAATATTTGCAAAAACAGAAAGCATCATTCACACAAGGCAATGAAGTAAAGCAGATAACTGTGGAGTTAAAGACAGAATAAAGTACCGAATTACTGATCATTTTTTTCTATGTAGTCGAATACGTGTGAAAGCAACTGAGCCCTATTAATTACAAAATAAATAAAAATTCATTCTCAATATACAGTTGGAGCACGATACTCAATAATTGAACTATAAAATAAACTGAAATAATTATTTATTATATAATCACTATCCTAATATATTTCTATAGCTTTTTGACCTGTGTTCATTTTAAAATAGAAATATTATTATTTAAATATGTGTGTAAAAAAATAAATCTGTCTTATCGCAAATTTTAGGTCTGTAATATTACGGATTTCGATAACTTGTGAAAGATGAAATAAATCCGAAACAAAGATATTTATCAAGCGAGTTGTACGGATGAGACGCGCCTCACAGTTTTCATTGTCGGGTAACTGCTCAATGTAAGAGAAATCGATTTTAGGTGCTAATAACAATAATCGAACAATCACATATTTTCACTAAGATAAGTCTCATAAACATCCAACTCGCTGTTGTTTTAACTTAAGAAAATAATAACTCAGGACTGTTGGAAACCCCACTGTGTCGCCTTCATTTTTCGAAATCAGAGCTATTTATAGTTTGGCTTCCTAATCCTGCTGAATATGTCTAATAAATAAATAAGGCTATAGTCTCATCGGTATTGTTCCACATTCTAGTAGGAAATTTCACATTGCATAGGAATCAGAGATAGTTAAACATGTGGAATCACATTTGTTCATCAAAAAACTACAATAATCACTGCATAACAGCAACAAATGAACGACAAAATTATGAATACAATCTAGAAATAAGGACAGGAAATAGTTCATTTCAAACCATTTTCTGAAATAATGACTTGAAAAATAAATAATCTCCATATTTTATCATGTTTATAGTCATTAATATAATACGTCAAAGATTTTGACTGAATTCATACGTTGCTGAGTATAACATACACAATGCTGGTAAGAAAACATCAGCAACAAAATATTGCGTAGGTAATATATAGTTTCAAATCTAACTTCAGCTTATTTCCTGTATACGTTGTGTGAACTATGTAACTCTAGTTTCACGAGTTAGTGCCGGCAATAGAAATATCAATCATTATTTGAACTACGACGTTTCCAGTTCATTATCCACCATATCTGGTTATCAGATTCTCATGTAACAGGGTTTTCCTTAGTTGTGTTTACTAGAATCACTTTATGGACAAAAACAAGAACTCAGGAAATGTATGCATCAGAAAAGATCGAACGTAGGCGTTTGGCTCCATCCATCATTATTTTTTTTCTCGAAATTTACTCTTTATAAGTATATTATTGTAGATGAGTGTCCATGCATGCACCATATCAGCTAGATTATTCCTATTCTCACTTGTCTGTTCCTCATTAACAGAATGACGTGTTCTTTGCTGTGACGCTTTTCTTATGTCCGGGTGAATTCCGATTTGCCACCTAACTTGTGAGTTATTTAAGTGACTTTTGTGATGTTGTTTTTCTTTTTTCAAACGCCGTGATATGATTTATTCTTCCTCACGCTAACTTGATGCTTTCATACGCGTCGTGTTGACTGATGTTTAGTTGAGTAAGAAGACGGCTGTTAACCAACAGAAGCACTTCTTGGATGACGGCTTTGGAGGAAAAATGTGTCTGCCACATACATCATAAATCTTGCGACGTTTGTATAAGAATATTTTGGTTACGTTTCGGTCAGTAGTTGTGCTGAGTTTGAGATTCTCATCACTATTAGAAATAGATGCCCTGTTTTGGTAATTCCCGCATACCTATTTGCATCAGCTTTACGTTGTTCGTTCATGATGTCGCCTAAATACTAACAGGTTTCTTTATTTCGCAAAACCTCTTATTCAGTTTCAATTTAGTTGTGACGCATTGTGATGTATCAGTAGTCTGTCCATTTTTTTGTGCGTTAAAAGTTCAGCAGCAGATGCTAATATATAACAGTAGCTGCAAAAGTGACATTCGATTTTGAATGCGGTAAATTAAAATTTTAGGTTTACTCAAGTTTTATAAAAATGATTTTTGATAAACTAGTTATTGGTTTGCTATTATATCCGTCCCAATTGTTCGAACACATTATCATCAGTGCACGAATTTAGTGAAAATGCATTACGAGTTCATTAGGTGCCACTATTGAAAGCCTCATCAATATCACCTAATATACGTCACAACGCAGTAGGAAAAAAGCTAGAGAATGTTGTTTTTCGCCTTCCAACTGAATCAGCATTAGACGATTTTCTGAGTTTTCATAAGCAGAATTATTTGTTAATATTCTGAATATGTACACACTGAGATATCCTAAGTATCTCCGCAGATACATCATATTGCTGAAGGCGACTCCATGGCATCAGTCTATATACTCACTGTCAAGCGATTTCTACGAATGGTAGGTTCGATTTAACCTTAGCTTGGTCTATTAGATATCGACGTATATGGAATTCGGCTTGAAAATCTGGAAGAGGTCAGACAGACAGATACAACGCATCACTACGTACATAAGTACATGGAATCAGATTGCCGTACCATCTCAGCAGAGAGATGTGACTGTCAGTTCAAATCCATAAGTGATATCGATATTAGAATAATGTGCAGCAGTGGAGAAGATTAGGGATCAAGGATATGATTAGAAAAGTATAATTCACTGACATAAATTTAGGAGGAGAAAGAGAGACAAATTGAGTGATTCGGAAAGTTACAATTAAAAAAAACAAATAGTAGATGCCTCTGATCTACTCGTATGGGCCATGTTTCGCAGTAAGACAAAGCAAACTGCTGCACAGTACACCCGTCTTTTGGTTTGCAAAATGATATTTCGCATGCGCTATAGGTGCCACAGGTTGGCATGAGCCAATCGAACATTCTACATTCGAACTGAAATTTTGTAAGTCACCGGGTCATCGCTACTGATGAGATTCCCCATGATTACCATCTTTTAAATTTTTCTTTCGAACTCCCTAAACATTATACATGCACATATCAACTGAGCGCTTCTAAAATAATACAGCCAGTCAACTCAGTTTTCTATAAAATAGTGTAATAGTTTCTAACATGACTGATCTTTTCATCTCACTTGTCATAATTAGGTTGGGTTTACGCATCGACTGTTACACAAATTCAGACTGTCATCCATCTTTTGAATATCAGTATCTAGCTACATGAATGTATTTCTGGAATTGTAGATAGACATTTTAATCAGCTGAGCCGGAACTTGCTAAATTTGAGGATTTTGCAAACAGAAAACTAAGATCATGGACTGAGTTAAGTTATAAATTTTCAGCTTGGTTTTCCAGATCGATGAACAGAGTTTGAGAGTTCATGTGCGATATGTAATAATTTAGTCGTTGACGTGCACTTGCAATGAACACTCATCTCTAGATAATTTTGACTATTGCTTGGCCATTTTATTTTAAGGACCTGTTTACATTTTTTGGTTAGCCTTTTTTAAATGTGTGATTATCGGTATGTAAAGGTAATTGTGAAGTATTATCATTGTTATTCATGACAGAAGTAGTATTTACAGCTGCAGAACCAGGGTTAGGACCAATAGATGTATTGCTAATACAAGTATTATTACTGTGACTGACACTTTCATTGACATTTTGTAACACAATACTCGAAGGACGCAAAACTGATGATGATAGAGTAGCAAGATTAGAATTTAAATAAACTGACGTTGACTGAGGAGTATCTTTTATTAAAGGATGATAATTTGTGTCCATAATTTGAAGATAACTAGAACATTCATTCATAACGGATGAGTCGTGTAATTCTGATGATGTAGGGAGAAAAGATGATTTAGAAGAATTTACAAGTTCAAGACATGATGGATACCAAATACCTGAGATTGATGTTGAAGACACACCTGTTGTTAATGATGATAACGATGTTAAAGGAGAAGAAGTTTTATGACGTGAATGAATTCGACTACTATTATTAGCCTGATAGTGTGAAAGCTGATCATAGGAATGATTTAACAAATGAGATGAAAATTGTTGATAATTATTCAACTCCTCTGTTTCGTTACATTCACTAACGCCAACGTGTGAGGTAGTAGTAGAAGTAGTGTTATTAGTACCAGTGACAGAAGTAGTGGCCATAGCATAAACAGTATTATTCACATCTGTAAAGCATAAACGTAAACGCTTCGGATCTGAATTCGATAAATCAACAAAATCTGCATTAGAAGAACGCATCTCAGTAGAAAATGATAATAATGATGCTGATGAGGATATAGATGATAAACTCATCGAATTCAATATTGTTGTTGTCGTCGTTGTAGTTGTAGTAGTTGTAGTAGTGGTACTAGCTTTTGAGTTAAATCAGTGAAGTCTAGAGAATCCATAATATGCGTAGGTAAGTAAGAACGACTTCGACAAACTAAAGAAGAATCTGTTAAAGGTAGATTACCCAGACTTGTATATGTATCTGTAGACAGGCCGGTAGATGAAGAAGCAATATTCATGATAGAATCAGTAGTAGTAATAGTAGAATTATCAGAAGATTCAATTGAAACCAAATTTAAAGAATCAGTAATCATGAAAGGAGTGGTTAAATTACAAATAACAGTTGAACAACTGTCAGACATATCTACATTTGTATGATCAATAGCTTTAAAAGAATTATGATGATAAACTGGACTTAAGGAAGAACAAGAGTTAACAGATGAAGTATTGTACGAATTAGGTCTAGAATCATTTTGACGATTGGAATGCTTTGATAGTGATGATGATGAAGATGTTGATAAATGATCGTTTTCACTATTCATTTCTTCAACTGATGATCCCGTTTTCAGAATAAAGACATTTTGAGAACAATTTGAGCTGAATACGCTAGATTCATACAACAAAGCTGAATGGTTTGGTGATACTATCACTGTTGTAGTACATGCGGTTGTAAGTGGTGGAACTGAGTATGTTAAGGATGAAGAATACGTGGGAAATTCTGTCTCAGAGATGGTTTTACTTACTGTACATAGTGACGGGACAATTATTGGCGATCGCTTGTTACAATAATCTTTATCGTATGGAAGTGATGTTGTAATATTACTGGAAGTATCAATGTCACTGCTTGGAAGATGGATATTATTTACATTTACGGTAGAAGTAGTATGAGGAAGTGGAGGAGTAATACTACTGTATAATGCACTGTCAACAGGTTTTGAATACATTGCAGAAACGTTAGATGGAAGTAAATGTTTTATATGATCTGTTTCAGAGCTATTATTATTACTGTTGGAATTCGGTGTTGTACAGTATGATGAACGTCATTTTGGAAATGCTGACTTATACAAGGAACACGAACCTGCACATTAAGAATGGACCCACGCAGACTCATGCACAATGTACCAAAACATTTAAATATGTGGAAATTCATTAGTCGATAATAAGCTTGGAAATAAACATTTCACTACAAACAACTGATTAACGAAAGAAAAAAAGTATTGTCTAAACCAACGAGAGAAATATTTCCTGTTTCAAACCATTAAACATTTATTTCCTCAAATATGCTGGTTGCTATAAAGACAACAGTAATGCAGTATATAAAGTCAGATCTGAAATAAATTTATGTTAACAATGTGATCGATCTCTAACCCAATCAAAAAGCGAGAATTGGTTATTTGGATTCCACATAAGCAGCAATTACTCGAACGACTCAATTACTGGAGGATAATTGTCCATGCTCTTTTTCTAATTTTTAGGGTGGACGGTTATTAGTTTCATTAACCTTATAAATGTTCAGTTTGTTTATTTTGAAATATCCAGCCACTGAGTTTGCAAAAACAGTGAATACGTTGTTCACAGATAACATTGAAAATGCAGCAAACATACATGAACATTTGAAAACAACGTAGGCATGAAACAGATTCACCAGCTAAAATAGGTTTCTCTCAGAGATGATGATGAAGTTGAATCAAAAACTTTCAGAAATAAATATTCGGAAGACAATCAACGTTTTCACATGCATATTTGAGAAAAATAACTAAAATCGATAGTCCTGAGTAATCGTCGAACAAATCACAAATTGTTCATTTCACAGTACTCATCAGTCTGGGTGAAAGCCGTTCTTACCAGGATTCTTCAAAAAGATTTCTTTTGAATCACCTCTTTCGGCGGATGTTTCACTCATAACGTGAATTATTGGCAATGAATATGTAAAATGAGATTCTCAAGTTTTTCAAGGTTTTATGACTTATATTAAAGTAAGATCAAACAGATCGCCTGGATACTAAAGCAAGACCCGACAAAGTCTATTACGAGGAGCGTGAATTGTTAGAAAATGTCATCAAGTTACACGCACGAGAATAAATAAAAAATTGCTTTATTGTCATTAGCTTAGCCGTGCCTTTGTCGGTTGAAATAATTCAGATTTGACAAATTCATCAGTTGTACGGTACCGCAAATGAGCAAATGACAAGATGTATTACAGAAATATGAACAAATAGTTTAAAACTTTTACTTATATTGTGAAGTGACTGTTGGCATATACACATTTGAATTTTTGTTTCGAAGAACGTGATTGTAGTTACACATCATCGAGTAATGCTGCGTGCGAAGAATCATCATTCGATGTCAGCCTATCACTGTGTTTCATCAGACTGTCTATCTGACTTAATTTTTATCTATATCTCAATGTATTAATTTGTGACCTTGTGTGAAACAATTGAAACTGTTTTGAGTTTGAGGGACAGTGAACATGATCATCAAGTACGTGCGGATGCTTTGAAATCCTAAACAAAGAAATCATCTTCTGACTCAATTAGGTTAGATAATAAGTGAGAGAATCAATGAATTATCATGTAAATTTTACATATGTTGCAATCTGAATTGTTTCTATCAAAACTATGTTGACGCTTATACTATCAGGTTGAATAATGTTAAGTAATGTTAGAAGACTGCTAATCATTACCACGTTTATTTTGTTAATAATGGCTTCAGTGGAAATCGAGGTTTATGCCACATACATCCGAAAACTTTTTGTCGTTGTATATAAAATTTTCAGTTATATTTGTCGGCATCTTTACTGATTTTGATATGCTCCTCACTTTGAGAACTGAATAATGTCTCTTGCTTATCTTTCATTTTCTATGCTCATCAAATTCGCATTGTACATCCATGATGCTGCACAAATACTCACAGGTTTCTATATTCTTCAAAACCTATCTTACTACTGTTTTTCGATTGTGACGCGTCGTTATGTGCCAATAGTGTCACTGACTTTTGCCTTGGGAATGTTGAGACCTATGAATGCAGAAATGGTGCTTAGCAGTAGTTGTAAAAGGTAACATCGATCAAGAGTACAGTAATTAACAATATAATGTTTGTTCACTCTATCAAACGTTGATATGTGAATAACAAGTTATTAGATTGGAATTCATAAATTCATTCATCCTTATCCTTAAAACACATTGTTATCAATGTAACAATTTCGTGAAAAATAACAAATGTTCATTAGGTTCAGTTTTCAATAGCGTTCTCAATATCGTCTAGTGACAGTCACTATGTTGTCTAAGATAAATTCGAAATTTTTTCTGCAACTTTTTCAACCCTGTGGTGAAGATATTTTTTATGATTGAAACAAAAGTGTGGCTTCTGTAAAGAAGCAAAGACCATTGTTTGTTAGCTGCTAACACGATCTAAGCATGTTTTTTTTATTTTTTATATAAAGGTACAACAAACAAGAACATATATCTATGAGTGAAACGTTTACTGCAGCGAAAAAATTTCTTATCATCAGTGCGTATGCAGTAAAACTTTTATTGAACAGTGTATGCGGTACACTGAATTAACAAAATGCTAATACTTCTGTTCACTGAATTCTGGAAAAAAATCATTCAATTCAGATTAGGATTCCGTCATCAAGAATATATAAATTGTTTTCTATGTACTGCAACCGTTAGTTTAAAAAAATTAATAAAGTAATCATAAACATAGTATTCTCACAAAAGTTGATGATCTTAATGAAGACTTTTCAGCAAGAGACCAATAACTTATAAGTGATCTAGTTAATTCAAAAAAACAGTTGAATCTTCTTTGGGACAAATACTGTAAATAATTGTCAAAGTCGTTTGATCCTCAGAAGCCAATTGATAAATATTTTTATTTTCTTTTCATTTCATGAACCGACCAGTTGACCTTGAAATCGAATTTTCCACTAGTAAAATCTTTGGTTGTTTTAGTGTAGTGTGTCATGATAGTGTGCTATTTTTGGGACCGTCCTAATGACGTCCATAGGAGTATAAAGAAACGCAATTTTGTTGATTAGATTAACTGTGCACTGTGTTTGTAAAATACAATTTCTAAATTGTATCAAGACATTTCGCTGATTCAATTTGATGAAGTCATCACAGTAACCTAGCTGTACGCTGGTTCACTGTGATAGTTCATGCTTATCTAGAGACGTATGTAACAAATTTGCGACTTCCTTTTGGTAGACGATCTCGTGAAATATGATGGATGAAGCCTAATTAGATAAAGTGTTTGCACAGCATCTGAATTGATGAAGAAACTTTTTCGAACGCACTCCTCTTCTCAAGTGTCATCTGCAACGACAATACCTCATTCAGTTGACGGTATGACCAGTGGCATTTCACAGTTTCATTGTTATCCTGAGATTTGGTTCAGGCGTTATAAAGATCTTTCGGAGGTTGATTTTAGTGTATTGCTCTCAAACGTAAAAACATATACACACATGACATAAAAATACAGCACAGCAATTCAGATTGACGTGTATATAGAGATGGTGTAGAAGATTTGTAGCTCAAATGGATTGTTTTTTTGATGCTGTTTCGTTCTTTGAGAAATAGGGTTTTGGTTTTGGAGCGTTTATTGTTCTTCTCAATAACACCATCAGCACAAGCTTCAGATAGAAGTTAGGCATTCAAATTTCTCCACGTTTGATCCGTAGCTTGTTCTGCCAACCTCAATCCTAACTGTTCGTTAATGACTTCAAACATGTGCTTGATTTCGCTTCTGATGATGGTTTCGGTTGATGGTTTTAAAAGAAATTGCGTGGATTGCCATTTGTTTGGAAAATAGCGTTCCGTTGTTTTTCCTTGTTATGTAATGCTTCGTATGTGCTTCAGTAAGTCTTCGCTCTCATCATCGTCTTTCATGACATCAAATTCACGATACAAAAGAAATTAAAAAACAGCCTATAATTCCTGGATGTACTAATCACCAGAACTAACACAGTTAAACTAGAAACTCATGTTTTTCGAAAGCAAACCTACCAAGCACAGTAACCCATAAACGCATCATCCTACCATACATCAAAGACATATCGGAGCATACAGCTCGACTACCGAAACAATTCGGAATATGTGTTGCACACAAACCAACGGAATCACTTCCATCAATCCTATGTAACCAAAGAACAAGATGACAAACGAAGAAAAACCAAGTATTTTCTACTAAATAAATTGCTCAAACTGTGAAAAACACTACACAGGACAAAGTAGACGACCTCTTCGGCAACAATAACGTGAACATCAGTTAGCAGTCAAACGCGACGACAAAACTTCGCTTATATCAATACACGCCGACAATTACTGACACACATTTGACCGAAACAATGTAGAAATAATAATTAGTGGGAAAGAAAGAACACTAGGGAATTTATAGAAACCTAAATCTCAGCAAACACATCTACATTGACCCAATTTATCAATCAATCAGAAAAATCATTGGTGACATAGGATCAAGAAGCAGATCAAAAGAGGGAAGTA